TTTTTTATTTAAAAAAAAATTTTGAAGACGCAATTAACATTTTTTACAGCGATGCGCTTGATGGAGGTTAATATTCAATATTTATATTTTCAAAAAAAAAAAAATAGGATATGTTTACTTGATTTTTAGTACCTATTAGTAATTAGTAATTGAGTAATAAAGTGAAGCGTGCAAGCGCTGAGTGCGTCAGCTGGACCGGCCGGAGAAGTAGGGGGAAGCGGCGCGCGCTCGCTCTGAAAACTGATGACGTGCAGTCTAAATGTCTCGCGCTTTCAAAATCTTTGATATCTCGGCTTCTGGATCACGTACAAAAATTCTTTTGAACTTAATCTGGGGTAGCTAAACACGAATATTATAGTCATTTTCGCATTAGAAGCAAACTAGTCCCGTAAATGTTTACTTTTTATTTAACTTACATTTTTTTTACTTTTATTATTCTTCTTCACGAAAATATGGAAGACGAACAAGAAAATTAATTAAAAGACAATCCGACAAAGAAAAGAAGAATTTCATTCGATAAATAATTTTAGTTTTCATTGCAATAATTTTATAGATATTTTATACATAGTTCTATAATTATTAAATATTTTTGTAAATAAATTAAATTCTTTAAACTTATTTTACACCAAAATTAATTAATTATTGAAATGATGAAGTAATTGTTAAAAAGTCAGCCACAAGTACGTCAGTATGATTAATGATGCAAAAAAATGAAGGTATTTAGACTGCACGACATCAGTTTTCAGAGCGAGCGTGCACCGCTTCCCCCTACTTCTCCGGCCGGTTCAGCTGACGCACTCAGCGCTTACACGCTTCAGTTTATTAAAAACATTTTTTTTTTAAATTCGTAAAAAAATTTCAGCAGTTTCTTTCTTTAAAAGTCATTTTCATAAAATAAAAATTGAAATATATAGTTATTTGAAAAAAATATACCCAAAAAGAGTGCAACTTTTTCAGTCATTTTTTTATCCTTATATATAATAAAATCGTTAACATTTTTTAACAGCATGATAATATAACTCTTTACGAAGAAAATAAACCGAAAATCGTTACTGTAGGGCTATCCGCTGAGAAGATCTAGCCAATTTTNATTTTTTGATCCTTAAAATTAATAAAATCGTAAACATTTTTTAACAGCATGATAATATAACTCTTTACGAAGAAAATAAACCGAAAATCGTTACTGTAGGGTTATCCGCTGAGAAGATCTAGCCAATTCTCGAGAGCTCCTTTTTTAAAAAATCGATATATCTCGAAAAATAAATATTTTTAAATTTTTCAAAAATGTACTTTTTTGGCTTGCCGCGGGCTATGCTTGCAATAAATAGCAAATATGGGAACGTAAATGTAAACGAGTTATAGAAGAAGAGAAAAGAGAAAATTTTTAACGGTTTTTTCAATATATCTCTAAAAGTAACAAAGCAATCGACACTTACAAAAAATCAGTCGATAGATCTTTTTAAAACCTACAACTTTCTCATTTAAAATTTTTCGATTGGTGCTATATTTTTTTAGTTATTTTAGA